TGCAAAAACAGAGAAATGTTGAGATTAATCTTAAGCACGAGCCCAAACATGCAAGCTTCGCCGTGAGAGCGAGGAGAAGCAGCTTTTGGGAAGCAGAAACACAAACAGGGAAGGCAAACTGTGTGCTCTCTGGTCGGCTTGCTTGGGAGGGAGAGGGAGAGGGAGGGAGGGAGAGGGAAGGAGGGAGAGAAGGAGAGGGGGGGAAGGAAGGAGGAAGAAGGAAAGAGAGGGAAGGAGGGAAGGAAGGAGGGAGAGGGAGAGAGGGAAAGGAGGGAGGAGATGGAGGAGAGAGAGGGTGAGGGAGAGGGAGGGAGGGAGAGGGAGAGAGGGAGGGAGGGAAAGTGTGAGGGAGGGAAGGAGGGAGGGAGAGGGAACCGTGCTGGTCGGGCTCTTGGGCGCTTTGGCTTCACTTCCTATTTTTGAAAGGGGTGAGAGGGAGGGAAGGAGGGGAGAGAAGAGAGAGAGAGGAGGGGGGGAGGAAGAGAGAAGGGGGAGGGAAGAAAGAAACTACCTTTTTTGTAGTTTCTGTTATCATTATTATTAATGACATTATTATTGTTGTTTTTTGTATTATCATGATTTTAGGAAGATGACTTGTGGAATCCATTTTTATTGTAATGTGTACCTTTAGTGAAAAATAGGATCAGATTTCATCTAAGGGTCATTATCGACGCATTTAGCATAGAGGCAAAGTCCTTGGGTTTAGACGTCTCCTGGACCAAGAACAAATTCCAGGAACTTGGCTGTTTGTGAGACGTACCTGCTCAGCTGATGTGTACCTGAAGTGAGAATTATTAAAGTCACTCGAGTTTCACCTTAACAGTTTAGTCCATGACTTTGAACTGTCTGTCAGGGAGTCAGTCTATTTCTGACTTCCTGGCAGACGGTTCAAAGTCATGAACTAAACACCTTAATCTTAATAGTTTAGTTCATGGCTTTGAACCGTCTGTCTGGGAGTAAGAAATAGACTGGCAGCAAGAGTCCTAAAGTCTCTTGATATGAGTATGTGGATATCCGAAGTCCGAAGGAATTCGCGCCGGACAGGACCCTTACCCTGGCTTCCTCATCCGGACGGAAGCGAAGTGGTGTGTGTGGGGGGGGGGGGAGGGGGTGCAGCAGTGTGGTCTTCGACTTTTTTCCTTTCTTAACTGGTTGGTGCTCGCTGTCGGTTCTGTATAGACACCCACACACACACGCAAACACACATATGTATGTATATGTGTGTGTTTCTGTGTGTGTGTGTGTGTGTGTGTGTGTGTGTGTGTGTGTGTGTGTGTGTGTGTGTGTGTGTGTGTGTGTGTTGTGTGTTTGTTTGTGTGTGTGTGTTTGTGTGTGTGCGCGTCTATTATTGACCATTATTTAGTTTCGAATGTTTTCATTTTGATGATCTTATTACCATGCTTATATCCACTTTAGAATTATCATTGCCATCATTTTAATGTTATGACAATTATCATTATCATTGCTACTCTCATTACTTTTTATTAAAAAGTATCGTTGTTAGAATCCTCATCATCAATGATAATAGTGATAACACGGATAATGGTAATGATAACAACAGCAATGATGATAATGATATTGATAATTATGATAATAACAATAATAATAATGATAATCATCATCATAGTCACCCGTCATCATCATCATCACTATAACAATAATAATGATAATGATAATGATGATAATGTTAACAATAACGATAATGATAATGATGAAGATAATAATAACAATGAAAATGATTATGAAAATAATGATAATGATAAATGATAACAATCATGATGACAATAACAATAGCAATGATGATAATGATCATTATGATAGCAATGAAAATGATAACAACAATTATACCGATCATGAATGCAGGTAATATTGCTAATGGACAGAATAACAATGATAATTACGATTAAAGTTATGATGATACCAATAATGACAATAAAAAGCAATAAAAAGAGTAATGATAAAGATGACTGCGATGTGATGATAATAGCAACACAAAAAATAGCCAAAAAATAGCAATACTAAATAAGGAATATAAACTAGCACTCACATTTTTCGCGAAATAAATGGACACGATTTCTCTCTTTGGTTTTACTGAATGCGTGTGAATGTTATGTGATTTTTTAAGTAAGGAATAAAATGGATTTTGTTAATTTGAATTCCTTCTCGTATTTTTTTTACCCTTCTAATCCTCCTTTTTTCTCTTTTTATTTAGTTTTTTTCTCCTTCCTTTTTCTGTCTGAATCTTTCTTTCCTTCTCTCTAATCTCATGTACTTGCTCTCTCTTTTTATCTGGCTATCCGTCCATTCTCTTTCTTTCATTCTCCCTCCCTCCATCTTTGTCTCTCTCTCTTTCTCTCTGTCTATCTATCTATCCATTCTCTCTCTCTCTCTCTCTCTCTCTCTCTCTCTCTCTCTTCTCTTCTCTCTCTCCTCTCTCTTCTCTCTCTCTCTCTCTCTGTCTCTCTCTCTCCCTCTCAGTCCTTCCCAATCTCTCTCTCTCTCGTTCTCCCTCCTCCCCTCTCTCTCTCTCTCTGTCTCTCTCTCTCTTCTCTCTCTCTCTCTCTCTCTCTCTCTCTCTCTCTCTCTCTCTCTCTCTCTCTCTCTCTCTCTCTCTCTCTCCCTCCCTCCCACACTCTATCTATTTTCCTAGAAATATCTATATCTTCTTTCATGTGATATCACGACATCGACTTCTGCTTATGGAAGTTCAGTAGCCTTGGTATAATCTTTATATAGTCTCTATCTTTATCTCTCTCTCCCTCACAAATTTGAAAATGAAAAAGTCTACGGGATTAAAACTCCGGTTTCACTTACATGGCATTGAAGGTGGAGAATAAATATTGATAACATTAAAGCTTTATTTTTTCTGACTTTCGATAAAGTGAACAAGAAGAAGAGAGAGAAAAAGACGAAGCAGAAGACGTAGGAGTAGAAGAAAAACAATAATGAAAAAAAAGAAAGAAAAAGAAGTAAAAAGAAAATGAATACACACGAAAAAGGATAGAAATTTGATGAAGC